TGACTATGTTTTTAAGCGACCTTTAATCTAACACACTATTCTTTTCTAAAACGGCTTATGCGTTTAGTGTATGTATGCGCGGCGCGACCCCTGTCATGAAATTATATGACAATGAAAGAATTTGTGATGAATTTGAATTTGAAAGTCAACACCTCATGTATCAAAGTCAAAGAATTAAAGTCAAATGTGAGTGTGTGTGTGTGTGTGTCTGATTGTGCGTGAATATTTGTGTGAATATACATATGCGTGCATGTTTATGTATCTGTGTGTATTTGTGTGTGTTTGTGTGAGCATGTCTGTGTGTCTGTCAGTACGTGTGTATTATCTATCTATGTGACAACCTAAACCTGACAAACAAACCAGTAACGGACATAGAAGGTATAAGGAATTTGCCGCTGAAACTTAAACCGTGTTCCCGATTTCAATGTCACCTTCCGCAGCCATTTTGTCCTCTAGCTCTGTTTTCACACGCCCATGTTTCTGGATCTCAAACCAACTGTTTGTTAGCAGTCTTTGTTGTCTACAAGTGAGAGGACAAGTCCCCTATCTTCAGGGAAACTAACCTCAGAGTATTACCGAGAAAATTAAAGGCAAATATGACAACCTCACCTTCTTACCGCTAAGCCCAACCTTTAGTACTGCTGCCACCCGCCATGTATGTCACGTGCAGACACGTCATCAGGGATTTTCCGTACGTAATTTATCACAGATGTCAGACACTTCACGGTTCCTTTACAAGTTATCGAGGCATCATGATCTCTTCAACTCTGGACTGGCAACCCAAGTATGTGTAACTAAAAGTTGGTCTTATTGCATGTAACATACTGATACCTACTCGGTTGTCCCACTTCTTGAGCATTTGATCGCGGGTGTAAGGTTTATATTTTCTCAAATATATCGAGAAGTGTTTCCAGACATGATTCAGGTAAATGCTTCAAAGAGCTGATAGTGAATATTATCAGCCCGGTTGTTGTATCATGAATTTGCTGAAGGGCTGTATATAACTCATGTAATGAAAATACTAAGACCATATCATTTTGTTTTGTGGAAGTTTGAAAGATGGATGGATGGGATATTGTCAATGAACTAAATGCATAAACAATGGGTTTCGTGATCTTTTTATAGTATATTAGTATCTATAAGTTGATCAATTACCTCACATGCAACTATATATGGAACACATGCAAATATGTGTGGAAAAAAGTATTTATATGCTTAGATTGTTATATATATATTCTTTGCAAAGTGACACAGTGGCAAATTCAGCACGGGGCGATGGGGTAGTCTAGTGGTTAAAGCGTTCGCTCGTCATGCCGAAGACCGGGGTCGAATCCCCACATGGGTACAATGAGTGAAGCCCATTTCTGGTGTCCCCCGCCGTGATATTGTTGGAATATTGCTAAAAGCGGCGTAAAACCAAACTCAGTCAGTCAGTTAGTCAAATTCAACACACTTTTTGTCATATATATAAACTGTATGTCCTCCATAAGCAGTTATCACCTCTGTCGAAATCAAACTATTAAACCATATATTGCCCAAAACATAAACGTTAATTTCTGATATTAGATATGATGACATTACCTCAGATACCACTCCTTGATTGTGATAAGCAATTAATGTTTTCTTTTATATCATATTTGTTGAATATTGGGGTGGTGTGGAGTGTCTGCTCAAGAAAACCATCTTCACTCGCTCACTTATGGTGATATGTCATGGTGTAAACTCTCAACGTCGAATATGAAGAGACGTAATGCCCTCAAGAAAACCATCTTCACTCGCTCACTTATGATGATATATCATGGTGTAAACTCTCAACGTCGAATATGAAGAGACGTAATGCCCTCAAGAAAACCATCTTCACTCGCTCACTTATGATGATATATCATGGTGTAAACTCTCAACGTCGAATATGAAGAGACGTAATGCCCTCAAGAAAACCATCTTCACTCACTCACTTATGATGATATATCATGGTGTAAACTCTCAACGTCGAATATGAAGAGACGTAATGCCCTCAAGAAAACCATCGCAACTGTGAAGAGCAACCTCCTCGTGGCGGGTGCTGGATAATGCTAATGGCTCTTCCCTCGAGGAGACCCGAGAAAGAATAGGTCCTCAGCTCCCCATTGCTGCTCGTAATAGGCGATCAAATTTGGCCACATGTTTACCTTTGGTTTGCGTCCCTGGGTGGGCAGATATGGAATCTGGTCGTTGAAGATACGGGAGCTGGCAATATTCAAGCACACTTTGCCTTGACCGGTGATAGGATAGGCCCAATGCTATCAATCGGCTGGTCACGCCATGGCCTGTTCATGGCATTTTTACATGGATTGTGATTTTTTATAACACATTCGGTTTTGTTAAAAATGTTTGAAATATTTCTGTCAATATGTGAATTTGCTTACAGCCCAATGAACCAGGCGTGACGAGCTGGGTAACCCTAATTAAACTCACAGTCGCTCAGTCACACATGAGACCATCCATCCATAAGGCACAAAGCATAAAACCATCAGGATTCCATTTTATTGTTTAAAATAAAGACATGGACATTGTTTCATAATTCTGTAACGCTTGTAAAACATTGTATGGCTTTCTCAGTTGTAATATTGTTTACTATAGTTACACCTGGTCCTTGGAACAATAAACAAAAGCATTGAGTGTCATCTATAAGACAAATCGAATGACTTGTTTGAGTGGCATTTAGAAGTTGAGACGTACAATATATAACAAGTTTTATGGATAACAACTTCTTTATTTTTCGTGAGTGCGACGTTTCGATACAGATTCTTGTACCGTTGTCAAGCAAGAGTGATGTCCATCTTGAAATATATCACGCTATGTAAATTTTTCCTGACTTTAACGTCTCCTGCCACTGTGACAGCGTTCACTGGTTTCGGTTCGGGGATCTTCAGAGTGAACACCAAATTGTCATCAACAGACACCTGAACTTATTAGTTCAATCTATTTTCAATCTGCCAACTTTAAAGTGAAATAACACATGTAATATGTGATTAGTTGCAGCCAAATATCACAGCATGAAAGCTCAAATAAATGTCTGTTAACATATATAGCTCGTAAACAGTTCAATAAGTGAAAGCATCCGTTCCCATTTGGGCGTTGTCTTCAATGTCTGCTGGTGCCACCATGAGCCCAAAATTAGCAGGACCAAATTAGAGTTTTTGGCTCAAAGTACAGCTTCGCGTAAACGATTACGAATGGTTTGCGCCGACATTCACCCTCCTTTCAGTCGCCGTGACAGTTCGACTCCGCAAATGATATACTGGTAAGTACCTAACCCGTGCTGCAGTGTTAATACGAGGTCTACAACTTTGAGGCCGATCTTGCGTAGAATTGGATTGCTGGTATCGAGCCCGTTAAGGACTGATAGTTCTGTTGTGAACATTGAGGTGACGTGTAACGGCAGGTTGCGACCCCCAAGCCTCCAGACGTCCAACGACAATGTTTCCATTTACAGCGGTGAGTTGCAGCATAACGATATTCCTTCATTTACCTAAACAGTGTCAATGACAGTCTCAAAACAAGACGGCCTTTTATAGGCAATGCCCTGCTCATAATTCCTCAGAACTGCGCGAGCATATTGCGAACCACGTTTTTCTGCATTACATTTTCATGCAAGTTGACTATTTTCAGTAGACTTTTCATTAAAGTTTCCGAAGGAGCGTTTTTGCACTGTGCATTTTGTTCTATGTACACAAGACAGCGTTTTAATGACGAAATCATACAAAATCAAACAATAATTTTGAAAATTATTTGAAATTCCATGCATCAATATCACCTATGCGTTTCTTGTTTTGAGAGTATATGTTCACTTTCAAAGATTAGAAATAACTTACAATAGTCATTTCATTTATTATTTATTGTATTTTCCATTCATTTGTTGTATGAAGAAGAATAGAAATGATGGACTGTGTCCATGCTCTTTCCTGACAAAACATCCCATAACATTTTCAGAATCATTGCTCAAACACTTGATATTGTATATTATATTATATTACTGAAGACCAATTCTAGCCCGGATCTTGACGGGTCCTGGTGATAGTGTACCTGAAAGTCATTCTCCTGTAACACTACTGCCAGCTCGAATGTCGTCCATGCTAGGTCAGGACATCCTTCTGCTGTTTCCCATGTTGATTTGGCTGGTGGCCTGTGACTGGTAAAAGTCATGAAGTTGAGGTTTTGCCGTCCTCAGATTCTACATAGATGTCTAAAGGGGTCATTTCGTCTTTTTCAGAGTGATGCCAAACTTAAGAAATTGGAGAGTTATAATTCAATTTAGATTCTGAATGGATGTTTTTGCTAAGATTATATATTTCAATGAAATGTCGGACACAAAATTGAAAAGGAATTACTCAATCTTGAATGATGTGTTTAGTTTGTTTTTGTTGACCACGACACTAGGCAAATTCAGCCATGTAGCGGCGGTTTGTAAATAATCGGATCTGGACCAGACGATCCAGTAATCAACATCATGAGCATCAATCTACGATACTGAGATACGATGACATGTGTCAACCACATCAGCGAGCCTGACCACCTGATCCTGTTAGTCGCCTCACGACAAGAATGGGTTGCTGAAAATCGATTTTAACCCGGATCTTCAGAGGGTTATTAGTTTTAAGGGTCAACCCAGTGATTGATATAATAAACAACTTTTTCATGGGGTCATGTTGAGTGTTACTGACAAACAAAGGATCAATATCACGCTAAAGGGGCATTCGAACCGACCCAAATCGGATTATAGCGCCAGTTATCACCACCAGTTCTACACTGCAGAATATTTGACGCTGAACCCGGCGAGATGTATTTAAAGCATTATTTTATATTAACATGTTTTTTGTAACAAATTAGCTCGGGGCTGTCTGGTATTACAAGTTAACACACTCTCTCTAATGGACAAGTTGTTTTTCATTCGTTGTATGTCTCAAAATTAATAAACCTACACGCAGCATTAGCGACCACTTTGGAGATTGGCAGATGTACAAACCATTTCGAATATCGGAATGTTGATAACAGGAATGTCATTTTGTCCCGGAGTTTCAGACTTCTTCTCAGAGGAACCTTTCTCTGGAGACAGAAAATTAATATTGCCAAAGGGACTGGTTTGGTTTACGTATGTTAGGGCGATGGACTACTTACTCACTCCAGATGCCGGCACTCACTCACTCATTCACTCATATTCCAGATCCCGTCACTAACTTTCTCATTCATATTGCAGATGCGGCACTCACTCATTCACTCACTCCACACACTCATATTCCAGATACCGGCACTCACTCACTCCAGATACCAACACTTACTCTCTCACTCACTCATATTCCAGATACCGGCAATCACTCACTCGTATTCCAGATACCGTCACACTCGCTCACTCATTCATATTGCAGATACGGCACTCACTCATTCATTCACTCACTCACACACTCATATTCCAGATACCGGCACTCACTCCTCACTCAATCAATCAATCAATCATATTCTAGATACCGACACTCACTCCTCCAGTAATATTTCAGCAACCAGCTTTGTGGCAGGGGTATACAAATAATCGAGTTAGGACCAGACAATTCAGTGATCACTATGAGCATCTAACTACGCAACTGACATACGATGACATGTGTCAGTCAAGTCCAGCGAGTCGGACCACCCAATCTCGTTAGTCGGTTTTACGACAAGCATGGGTTGCTGAAGGCCAGTTCTATATATTGACTTACGTGTCATGATGAATGGTACATAATGATCAAAGCAAACCATCTTCTTCTAGTATGAACTAGAGAGCAGGTAGAACTTCAAAAGCATTGCATGATGAATAACACCTGCAAACCTCCAAATATGTTATGCTCTTCAAGTTATAAAATATCAGAATATAAAGAACATTTCTGATATCATTTTAAACATGATATATTTCAAAATAACCATTTCACCTGTCGTGTGTCTCTGCTCCAACGAAGGATGCAATGAAAATTCAGAACTGACTTTAATGCCATTCACCACTGTGTCCTAACCAACCAGGCTGACGCAGCCTGTTTGCTTTATGATATGCGCTAATATGGCAGATCGGAAATGTTGATGGCCAGCTCAAGCTTCTTAAAATACAATTACACCTTGCTGTTGAACTGTTATACTCATCATCCCGAAGAAGAACCCTTGAAGATCCGAGTAAGAATGATCTTCAGCAACAAATACGTGTTGTAAGAAGATCAATTCTAGCCCGGACCTTCACGGGTCTGATGCCATGCTTGTCGTAAGAGCGACAATCGGGATCGGGGGTCAGGCTCGCGGACATGGTTGACACATGTCATCGTATCCCAATTGCATAGATCGATGCTCAACTGTTCATCAATGGATTGTCTAGCCCAGAGGCGACTGCCGCCATGTAGCTGGAATATTGCTAAATGCGGCATTAAATGACAACAATGAAAAAAAAAAATATGACCAATTAACAGATATATTTTGCTTAGAATGCATGAAAATAAATAGAATGCAGAACAATAAACTGCAGAACAGCATACATTCCATTGTAACAGTGATACATATCATGTGTACTCACCACGTTGGTTTCAGTCCCCATAGTATTGCAGTGACAAGAATATATCCCTGCTGCTTGATGAACGAAGCGGAAAAAGCCAGGTACATGGTATCTTTTGTCAGTCTTGGCAGTTCCTACAATATTGGAATACCAAACCTTGTGGCTCGCTCAAAAGGAAACTTTACATGCTTTCCTACAGTTTCAGCAGTTCCTAAAACATTTGAATATCGGCTGGGAAAAAAAAGCAACCTTTATAGATTTTCCCACAGCAAACTTAATAAGGAGTTGAGCTGAATTGAGTTTTTCGTCGCATCGCCATTGTTTCAGCCATATATCGACGAGACCAAGTCTGCTCATATACATATTTGAGTTACAAAGTTTAAACGAGTTTCTTAAAATGTATATGTCTTCATTACACAATAATCAACAAAGCCATAATAAATATAAACTGGTTATTCCTTCACAGAATTGAGCAAGTCGGTCAACGAGAATAGACAGTATATGTCTTAAAGAATTTGAGTTGAGTTAGGCTTTACGTCACATCGGGATTACTCCAGCCATATAGTGACGAGATCAAGTCGGCATTCTTAAACATTTTAAGGTACAAAGGCCAAATGAGTTTGGTTTGTTAAAACCTATATATTCATTATATTATTATTTAGAAACAGGAAATGTCATTACACCAAATCTCCCAAAAGAGATGTGTTGCTTCATCAGGTGAATCCCTTGCACATGAAAAGTCCATACAGTCAAGCAGAATATGCTTGATGGTGAACACTTAATCGCAAGAGATACACACAGGAGATCATCTCCATAGACAAGAGTCATCAGAAGATGACAAATCCCCAGCCCCCACAAACAAAATCATCTGACAGTTACTTAAAGTCCAACTCGATGGGAGTATGTCTCTCTTATCTGTCCGTCCGCATACAAGAGTAGTTACTGAGCTGTGAAACCAATTATATGGAACTGGGGGTCGTAACTTTGTGCATCTATGTCAGGTTGACACCAACATCAACGTCAAAGGAAAAACACAAATTTTAAGAATCTGTAACAGCAAACTACAGCAGTTGACGACCTGGTTTCCGTTTGTTCACAGTTTCATGAAAGATTACCTAGTAGGGTGAGGCTGACAAAATCCCACCCAGACAAAATCTCATAGCACAAAATGTCTTTGGACCAAATTCCACACCATATTAGGCCCCATCTCCACGGCGAGCGTTTTGAAAGCAGCTCAAAGAGTTTGGTACATGTGTAGATAGTGGCCTGCCTGAATTTCTATTGTTTTGTTTGCGATATTTACAATTTAGATCCTGATATGACACTACAAGCATCGATTTTCAATTTGTCCATAAAATTATTCTATGTGAATCCCTTTTGGTTTGTCTTTGATACCTACACAAGGCAAACAGCCCTGAGGAGGCCCTTAGATAGAGCTCGGCAAACAACACATAAAGTGCTGTGACGTTTACTATGCATGTCCCATTAATATACATAATACAGATCTTGAATGAGTATACATTTTTCAGTAGGTAAATACCCTTTTTAGGGCCTTGAGAAATTACAATTCAGTCATCGGGCTACGTAGTGCATTCAGGTATTGATCTATCAAAAGTCTGTAATTGCTTCCTATTGGATTGTTACCTTGAAGCTATTTACCTTCAACCCTTGTTATTGAACACTGGAAAGAAAATACAAATTGTAAGCTGACTGCTGCTATAGATATTTTTCAACAAACGAAGGACATAAACGAACATACATACTCTCTGCGAATTTCATATCATATGACGGGGGCAGTTTCTCCTACAGTTCGCATAGACTTGTTGCTTTTCTTATGTTTTCACCTTCATAGCCGTCTATCTAAACTGTGCAGGCCACACGCGCTTTACCAGTGTACAAGCGTATCCTCTTCTTGATCAGCAAAGATGAACAATTTTGTGGTGCAATGGAGATTGAAATGTAGGCACATGTAGGCACCTTTGTGTGTCGTAAACGATGACGAAGCTTGCCTGGTAAAATTACGATTTTCGTTTGTTTGTTTGTTGTTTAACTCCGCGATATTCCAGCTAAATGTCGGCGGTCTGTAAATAATGACAACTGGACCAGACAATCGAGGCGATCAACAGAGTGAGGATTGATCTACGCAATTGGGATGGATACGAGTGAGTAAAGGGATTGATACGAAGACATGTTGGTGACCCGTTAGTCGCCACTTACAGCATGGTATTCCACGTGGGGGGACGTCAGACGTCTGACTTGGTCCGTGCACCTACATACAGTGACATCTCAGTACACCTATCACACCTCCCCAGCTGTACCTCACACTTCCCCAGCTGTACCTCACACCTCCCCAGCTGTACCTCACACCTCCCCAGCTGTACCTCACACCTCCCCAGCTGTACCTCACACCTCCCCAGCTGTACCTCACACCTCCCCAGCTGTACCTCACACCTCCCCAGCTGTACCTCACCCCTCGCCAGCTGTTCCTCACACCTCCCCAGCTGCCTCACACCTACCTCCCCGCCCCCAGATGTGCCTTGACAGTTTTCATGCTGTTCCCCACTACTCTGATTTTTTGCCTCAACCTTCTCTGGGGCACTTCATCCACAGCACTTCTATTCCTATAAAAGCTATTACAGTATACCACATATGAATGAGTTCATTGAAGCTACTGACCTCAATACCTTGAGGGAAACGGAACATCAACCACTGACTTAACACTCAACGCGCAACACTCCAAGTCCACTGAACATATTGCCTGTTGTCACAGCCCGACAATTCACCGACATTCTCACTTCATGAGTGAGTGAGTGAGTTCAGTTTTACGCCGCTTTTAGCAATAATTCAGCAATATCACGGCGGGGAACACCAGAAATGGGCTTCACGCATTGTGTCCATGTGGGGAATCGATTCCGGGTCTTCGGTGTGACGAGCGAACGCTTTAACCACCAGGCTACCCCACCACCCATGACCTATTAATGAGGCGTTCGCGGTAAAATTGCAAAACTCAGTTAGTGTTTGTGAGAGAAGAGAAGGAAGTTTTCGACAACATTTAAGAATGACATGTTCAAACCTTGCTATGTCTCCACCACACTTTCCAGCTTCAAGTCCACATTCCGTCGTTGCTACCGTTGCGACAAGTTAATATCACATCGCATATCAAACTGTTATCTGAGTAATATGAGACCAGAGCATGACCTCGAGAATACCGTGCGGGCGTCACCCGTGGTCTGGGTTAGATTATTGATCTTCAGTAACCTCTGCTTGTCGTAAGAGGCGACTAACGGGATCGGGTGGTCAGGCTCGCTGACCTGGTCGACACATGTCATCGGTTCCCAATTGCGCAGATCGATGCTCATGCTGTTGCCCACTGGGTTGTCTGGTCCAGACTCGATTATTTACAGACCGCCACTATATGGCTGGAATATTGCTGAGTGCGACGTAAAACTAATCTCTCTCTCACTCAAACTCACTGAGCGGGCGGGTTGACTGAGTGTACGGGGAGATTCAGTGTATTTATAATTCAGTCGTGGAAAAATTTACCTAATTTATCAGAAATAACTCTTTCCTATATAGTCTGTACAATCAAAGATGTGAATATTTATTCGGACCAAGCATTGACTGCATCCCAGTTTTGTTGTAAACTGTCAGATATCTTCACGCCTTTAAACTTTTTTATTGAAATTTTAATTGACATTCTGTCAATGTCCTGGAGTGTTTGTTTGTTGTTTAGCTACACATTAATTCCAGTTTTAGGACACATAAATTAACACAAGTCATGTTGTCCTTGGCAACAGCCCAAGTGTTATCAGAGAAAGTGAGATTACATGCCTCAATCTGTTGGATCAACTGTACATTTTATGTCAAGACACCCAGCACTTCGTCGCGTAGGCCACCCGCCACGCTTCTGAAGAGACCCGTGAAGATCCGGGTTAGAAAATTGTTATTCAGCAAACCATGCTTGTCGTAGGACTCGACTAACGGGATCCGGTGGTTAAGTTCGCTGACTGGGTTGACACATGTCATCGTATCTCAATTACGTAGATCGATGCTCATGCTGTTGATCACTGATTGTCTTTTCAGACCCGATTAATTACAGACTGCCGCCATATAGCTGGAATATGCCCGAGTGTGGCATAAAACTGAACTCACTCACTGTTACTGAGGATCATTCTTTCCTTTTTCTCTTTATATTTGAACAATTGTACACGACGACTGGGAATTCATACATACAATATATACTACTCAAAACAAGTTAAAGGGTCATGCGATGTCATCATGTAATGCTATTGATGAGGCTGGTTGCATTATGTATAAAGAAAATTTTACATTCCGTGTATGGCAGTTTATCCAAAACCATTGCAGAACCTGGATAAAGGCTGCAGATAACTGTGGTGCCAAAGTCATCATGTGGTAGGGTGTTAAAAATGAACAAATTGAAACATCGAGGTGCTTCACAGAAGCGCCACCACTGTGTGTGTGAAAGATGATGTTTCATCATGAACAGCATGTGCACATGTTCTTCGTGGGATTAGTGCTGTGCATGCTGATTTCCCCTATAAAACTTGTGTTTGTCGCATTGTTATTGTCACTTGAAATTCAACAATGGCAAGACGTCAACTGAGCATGACAGACAGAGGAAGAGCTCTTGCGTAGCTTCAAGATGGCGGACCTCAACGCAGTGTGGCTCAGAGACTAAATGTGAGTCAGAGTGTCATTGGAAGGTTATGACACCGGTTTCGTGTCACTGGAACGCTGACTAATCGACCACGTTCTGGCAGGCCTCCATCAACAACTCCTAGAGAAGACCGATACCTGACAAATATGGCTCTCCCACAACGCAGAGTAGCTGCCAGACAATTCCGTGACCAACTGAGAACTGCCACAAGTGCCCTGGTATTTGATCAGACTGTCAGGAACCAACTAACAAGGAACAATCTTCGGGCACGGTGACCAGCAGTACGACCACCGCTCCTTCAGCGACACACGACGGCAAGACATGACTGGTGTAGATGTCATGTTCGTTGGCAACGAGCTCAGAGGGCATCAGTTCTTTTCTCCAACGAGTCTAGGTTTACTCTACAGTTCAATAATGGTAGAAATCGTGTGTATTAGCGTCCAGGAGGGAGGTTTGCTGACGTTAACGTCAACCAACGTTTGTCATTTGGAGGCGGGGTTGTCATGGTTTGGGGTGAGTTTTCCTTTCATCAAAGGACACCTCTCTATGTCATTAATGGTACCCTGACCGGAAATCGCTAAATACGGGAGATTATCAGACCCCTTGTTTTGCCATGTTTACAACGTACCGGCGTCGGATCCATATTCCAAGGTGGCAATGCCCGACCACACCGTGCCCGTGTTGTGACGGACTTCCGTAGACAGAACAATGTTTTCAGCACATGGAATGCCCGGCATATTCAGCAGATTTAGCCCCTATGGAACATGCTTGGGACGAGTAAGGACGTCGGCTTCGTAACAACCACGCCCCTCCAAACAACCGTGCAGAACTGGCCCAGTATCTCATTGCAGAATGGCAGACAATACCCCAAGCCTTCTTCCAACGTCTGGTGAACAGTATGAGACAGAGGTGTACTGCTTGTCTTACTGCTCGAGGTGGTTACATCCGTTATTAGTCCAATGTTGGCTTTTGAATTTTCACATCTGACAGTAGGTCACTTTGATCTTATTGATCAGCAATCACTGACATTCCTGCTGTTTTGTCTTCCGTTATGGTTATCATGAAATGTTGGCTACATTTTACTGTTATTTATATTTGTAGCTATGGCCATTAAACGTTTTGACCCTTAACTTGTTTTGAGTAGTATACAATGGTTGGTCCAAATGATATGCATGAATATTTACTGAATTAACGAAGCGATCGGCAAAACTAGTTTCTGATCTTTTTTGTAATTATCACAGTACTTTCTAAGCAGCGTACGGCATTTCTTATTCCAGGAGAATTGAAACATAGGAAATCCTTACGGTTTGGATTAAAACCCCACGAAACTGCTAAACAATATGCCTCAAAATCTACATAAGTGATAATTTACCCAAAGTCATGATAAATGAGTTGTGTGCCCAGCACAGGGGCCTAGAGTTCAGACAGGGAGGACGGGCTAAACATGTGTAGCACATCCTCCCTATCTGAACCTGTGCCCAGCTCGTGTAGCCCATCCTCCTGTCTGAACCTGGGCCCAGTGTCTGTAGCACATCATCCCTGTCTGAACCAGGGCCCAGCTCGTGTAGCCCATCCTCCCTATCTGAACCTGGGCCCAGTGTCTGTAGCACATCCTCCATGTCTGAACCTGTGCTCAGCTCGTGCAGCCCATCCTCCCCTATCTGAACCTCGGGCCCAGTGTCTGTAGCACATCCTCCCTATCTGAACCTGGGCCCAGTGTCTGTAGCACATCCTCCCTATCTGAACCTGGGCCCAGCTCGTGCAGCATCCTTCCCTATCTGAACCAGGGCCCAGCTCGTGTAGCCCATCCTCCCTATCTGAACCAGGGCCCAGCTCGTGTAGACCATCCTCCCTATCTGAACATGGGCCCGGCGTCTGTAGCACATCCTCCCTATCTGAACCAGGGCCCAGCTCGTGCAGCCCATCCTCCCTATCTGAACCTGGGGCCCAGTGTCTGTAGCACATCCTCCCTGTCTGAACCAGGGCCCAGCTCGTGTAGCCCAATCCTCCCTATCTGAACCTGGGGCCAGTGTCTGTAGCACATCCGTCCCTGTCTGAACCAGGGCCCAGCTCGTGTAGCCCATCCTCCCTATCTGAACCTGGTATGGGTCACAGCTAGCTTTAGTCGGCGAAATATATCACGTAAACCCTGTTTCACACTTTGGTAGCTACATGCATAACAAACAAACTGTGTTTCATTATTCAGGACAGTTTCTTCTTGTGTCTGATTCAGTATACATAGTTTCTGAAAACCTTCCACCCCTAGGGGCGATTCTACTAGTATTTCCGGTGTACTCTTTATCTCGTAACAGCAAATAGTTTCCCCTCTTGTCAACAGTGTCGTCGATTTCATGATATTATAATAACCTTGACCCAATAGTAACCTTTTTAGGGTTTATATTTGGTCTAGGCCGGGAATTATAATATCTAGAATTTGCTGTCGGGGAATTAGCTTGGGACCGCAACCCTTTCAAATAACCAAGAGGAATTATCGAAGTCTTTATTCGGTGCATTTGGAGTACATTTCATAATAAAACATCAGCAAATTCATAACCTTGCACAATTAAAATATTCTGAGAATCATGAATTAAGAATTGTACAGACGGAAGAAGGTTACGATGACATAAACTTTATTCCTGTCCGTGATAATACGTAAAAGGGTAAGTGTTCCTCCCGTTCACCCATCTCAAATAATATTTATAAATATTCTAGAATTATAAACCAAACTTAACACAACAATTGCTAGAGACCTCACAAAATTATTAAAAGTCCAAAAATTCAAGTTAGGGCTAGGTTTAGAGCTAGGTTTAGGGGTTAGGTTTAGGGTTAGGTTTAGGGTTAGGTTCAGAGTTTGGTTTAGAGTTGGGGAACGGAAGGAACTCTTCCCCGTAAAGACAAGAAACAAACGAAAGTTTCCAGTCAGAACACAATCTGGAAGCATTTTGATAATGTAGAACAGTGTAACGACAGCATTACAGTGAAGCGCTAGGGTGACCGATATCTTGAAAATTGTACGTGCGCTTTAAATTGACAAGTTGGACATTGAGGCTATCTGTACTCATTTCTGACAATAATTAACTCTTTGTGAAAATATCACTGTTTACACTAGACAAGAATATGCTAACACTGGGAACTAAATATAAAATACCATTTATAATACTAACTTACTCTGTACAGAGCTCAAAGATACTGTAAACTAATTTGAATCGCCACGCTGCACTGGCGCGGGGAATGAAAACCGATGCGGTGCACATTTTGATGCATGAACAAACCTTATGGAAACTGACATGTACAAACTGTTATAGAAACAACATCTAGGTAATGTTATAACTCATATGCATCATATACATACACTTTGGTGGCCTATTTTCACTGTTCGTGGGATGGAATCCCAGTCCTATTGCAAGTTTGCCATTGCGGCCTGTTTCCATGTGCTTTTAACTAAGGGGAGGTAACTGCGACTCGGTTAGTGAATTGCGAAATAAAATATTAAAGAAACACCACAAAATGATATAACCCTTACTGACAATGCCGAACGGCATGTAATTGAATGGGTAAACGTCTACATAGAGATTAACAATACTGATGACGCAGCAGTATGTCAGCAGCTGAATAAAACAACAAGTGTTATGTGGGCTCACGTGTTTTACTTATTCAGTATATTTACCTCACGTAATATGTACATTGTTTTAAACATTGTTTGATGAAAGGTAGCATGGAACATTTGAATTAAACACATATAATAATCATTTAGAAATACATTCTCTGGCATACACTTTGATTGCAAACACGCAATAATATATACAACATGTGCACAAGCATTTCTTTGCTTCCACGAGCCCGATTATATGTACTGGTAATTGTGATTTACTGAACTTATATTATGTCTTAATTTTACTATATTTTTCTGTAAACTATGTTGATGTAAATTAAAATGTTAGATTGGTGCTACGTGGTCTCACCTAACTATGATACAGATATTCCCTGTTGTAACTTTTAATCAATACTCGCATAGTTTAATGATAATATTGGTGTAAACAGTATGGAACGCCATAGAAAAAAGAGAAAATATGAACATAATTTAAGAATAAACAATGAATTAATTGAACATGGCTTACCTTCAAATAACCAAGAAAAGTATCGATTAGTGGCCAGTCTTTATTCGGGGCATTTCATGAGTTCGGGATATGGTCGCACGTTCAATGGTCACTTCTTTAACAATACTTACAAATGTTGCTAATCTACACTGCTGACTATCTAAATCATGAGATTACTTTGAAGCTTTGAAAGACTTGAGAATGCAGAAATGACCAAAATTATCTACCAGGTTTCACGGGAGCGTGTCATCGTAGAGCAATGTTACTTCTCTGCCCGGACATGTCGTCTTAACAATTAGTACATAAAACATCAAGAAAACTTGGGAATAAAGACGAGCGTATATCGATACTGACAGATTATAGACTTGGACCATGCATGTAGTCTTAAAGCTTTAACACATAATGCTAATTATCTTACACCTTGGAAAATGAAGATCAACACTAGCTTAGACAGCGTTTAGTATTCTCGTTATTGATTAAAGTATACAAAATGTGCTGTATAGTCCTATGTTATAAAGTCACAATTATTTGATAAAAGATTGAGGAAAGTATGACGTATTTTAGAACTATGATAATAACATTAATGTAACTTGCACGAAGGTCGTGGATTTTCGTTTTCAATAGAACTGCAAGGTATAACGTCAGCAATATTACAACAGAAAAACTGCGGCAAGTGTACCCACCAGGAAGTGATATGTAAAGTAGGGTCTTGGGTGGGTGACCACAGTGAAGTGTGATCAACCAGGAAGTGATTATGTAAGGTAAGGTTTTGTTTAGGACTGACCACAGTGAACTGTGATCAACCAGGAAGTGATGTGTAAGGTAGGGTCTTGGGTGGGACTGACCACAGTGAAGGGAGATAAACCAGGAGGTGATATGTAAAGAAGGGTCTTGGGTAGAACAGACAACAGTGAACGGAGATCAACCAGGAGGTGATATGTAAAGTAGGGTCTTGGGTGGGACTGACCACAGTGAAGTGTGATCAACCAGGAAGTGATATGTAAGGTAGGGTTTTGTTTAGGACTGACCACAGTGAACGGAGATCAACCAGGAAGTGATATGTAAAGTAGGGTCTTTGGTGGGACTGACCACAGTGAAGTGTGATCAACCAGGAAGTGATATGTAAAGTAGGATCTTAGGTCGGACTGACCACAGTGAACAGTGATCAACCAGGAAGTGATATGTAAAGTAGGGTCTTGGGTGGGACTGACCACAGTGAAGTGTGATCAACCAGGAATTGATATGTAAAGTAGGGTCATTGGTGGGACAGACCACAGTTGAAGTGTGATCGACGAGGAAGTGATATGTAAAGTAGGGTCTTGGGTGGGACTGACCACAGTGAAGTGTGATCAACCAGTAAGTGATATGTAAAGTAGGGTGTGGGTGGGACTGACCACAGTGAACAGTCATCAACGAGGAAGAGATATGTAAAGTAGGGTTCTAGGGTGGGATTGACCACAGTGAACGGTCATCAACCAGGAAGTGATATGTAAAGTAGGGTCTTGGGTCGGACTGACCACAGTGAAGTGTGATCAACCAGGAAGTGATATGTAAGTAGGGGCATGGGTGGGACTGACCACAGTGAAGTATGATCAACCAGGAAGTGATATGTAAAGTAGGGTCCTTGGGTGGGACTGACCACAGTGAAGTGCGTGATCAACATGGAAGTGATATGTAAAGTAGGTTCTTGGGTGGGACTGACCACAGTGAAGTGTGATCAACCAGGAAGTGATATGTAAGGTAGGGTGTAAGGTAGTGGACTGACCACAGTGAAGTGTCATCAACGAGGAAGAGATATGTAAAGTAGGGTCTTGGGTCGGACTGACCACAGTGAAGTGTGATCAACCAGTAAGTGATATGTAAAGTAGGGTGTGGGTGGGACTGACCACAGTGAACGGTCATCAACGAGGAAGAGATATGTAAAGTAGAGGTTCTAGGGTGGATTGACCACAGTGAACGGTCATCAACCAGGAAGTGATATGTAAAGTAGGGTCTTGGGTCGGACTGACCACAGTGAAGTGTGATCAACCAGGAAGTGATATATGTAAGTAAGGGCATGGGTGGGACTGACCACAGTGAAGTATGATCAACCAGGAAGTGATGATATGTAAAAAGTAGGGTCCTGGGTGGGACTGACCACAGTGAACGGTGATCAACCAGGGAGCGATATGTAAAGTAGGTTCTTGGGTGGGACTGACCACAGTGAAGTGTGATCAACCAGGAAGTGATATGTGTAAAGTAGGGTCTTGGGTCGGACTGACCACAGTGAAGTGTGATCAACCAGGGAGGTGATATGTAAGTTAGGGTCATGGGTGGGACTGACCACAGTGAAGTGTGATCAACCAGGAAGTGATATGTAAGGTAGGGTCTTTGGTCGGACTGACCACAGTGAAGTGTGATCAACCAGGAAGTGATATGTAAAAGTATTGGATCTTGGGTGGACTGAGTACAGTGAAGTCTTTTGTGATATGTGAAAGAAGTAAAGTGAGGGTCTTGGGTGGGACTGACCACAGTGAACGGTCATCAACGAGGAAGAGATATGTAAAAGTAGAGTGGTTCTCAGGGTGGGATTGACCACAGTGAACGGTCATCAAACCAGGAAGTGATATGTAAAGTAGGGTCTTCCATCCGTAGGACTCATGAAGTCACAGTGAAGTGCTGTGTGATCAACCAACCTTTGTCTACCTCTGGCTTCATCAGCTTCTTACACAGGAGTGTTTCTCTTTATTATATGACATCCAGGTAAGGTTTTGTTTACGGACTGACCACGGTGAACTGTTGATCCAACCAGGAAGTGATGTGTTAAGGTAGGGCATGGGTGGGACTGACCACAGTGAAGTGTGATCAACCAGGAAGTGATATGTAAGGTAGGGTCTTGGGTGGGACCACAAGCCACAGTCAACCAGAGGTGTCAGGAATCTTGATGGATGACTCGAATGTGACTCAACCAGGAATAGAGGTACCATTCTACACAATAAGACGTTTCTACAAGGTACCTTCAAACAAACCCAAGTAAAACACTGAGACAAGTTTACACGCTGTTTATTAAAGCATCTTTGTAGCAATATGCATATAAGAATAGGTAAATGAGGGCGCGTCAGTGATATATCATTTACAACATAAAACACAACTGTAAGAATACAGTTCTCATTAGGAAAAAAATACTGTCTTTGTACGTGGATATCAGTGAACATCACCCAGCTGAGATGAGACGAG